ACAGATGCAAATTGTGGGTTGGGGGTTTGGTTTAGGACCAAGATGTGAATTGAATTTAGGTTAGTTTTAGAGTCAGATAGATACCTGTGAGGTTAGCTTTAGGGTTTATGGTCAGGGTTAGGGTATAAAATTACCAAAAAATTAATGGAAGTCAGTGGAAAGTCCCCACAAGTATACAGAGACAAAGTAGGTGTCTGTGTGTGTGTGTGTGGCCTTGTTTTTCCTACATCGTGAGGTCTAGTTTTAAGGAAAACGCAGCCTCGTGGGTACCGGGTGCTCCTTGTGGGGCCCAGGCTGATTTTCGGGGGGTGGGGGGTTAAGGACRAAGGTGTGAATTCAGTTTAGGTTAGTTTTAGGCTCAGGTAGATACCTGTGAGGTTAGTTTTAGGGTTTATGGTCAGGATTAGGATTTAAAATTACCAAAAAATGAATGGAAGTCAGTGGACGGGCCCCACAAGAATATAAAAACAAGTGTGTGTGTGTCGGCACCATAACACCAGATGACATTAAGACACAAATGAGGTCCTTTAATTTCAAATAAAATAAAAATCAAGACTCAAGGTGGTGCAGTGACATCATGCTGTTTACTAAAACACCATTTTGGTTTGATTGACAGGTGTCATATTCTAATGCTTTAATAAGGTTTTTTTGAGACAGTGTGATGTAATTCAGGGCAATATTATCTATACTGCCTATTCAAGGGTTTGTTCTAATTTTTGAGTTATTCACATTTTTTACATTGTTAAGCTTTCAATTGTGGATCAAATTAGAATATTGTGCAGTCCCTATTTGTCTTTATTCTTAATTTCCATGCAGTTTTTATATGCATGTGTCTCTCAACTAAATAAGACATCCAAACACTGAGTTTGAATTCGAGGATCTAATATATTCATCTCCCACGCTTATAAACTAAAATGAAAAACTAATATTTGGATTTGTTCACTCAGATATTTATGTTCATATCCTGTATATTGTAAATACTTTCATAGTAGCAGTGAGATGATCTTTTCTTTGAATGAGCCACATAACCTGTCTATGATGGCTTTTTCCTGAGCAGAAATTTGAGGAAAGAGTGGCACTGCTGGGTTGAAATTGAGGAATGTAAACACTACAGATGCCTCTTCAACAKAATGAACACCAGAGAGGAAATTTCAGTTAGGGTAATATAACTGAACAGAATGGTAGCAGAAAGGTGCTTGAAATGAGTATTATTTAAAGGACAGAGCTGAGGCACCAGCACATTTTCAATAACTCCAGTGGCTGAAATATTACCGAGGAGGGCTCACATAAAACGAGTCGAGCTTAATTTGATCAGGATTTCATCGGAGTAATGAGAGGCAGTCAGAAAAGACCTTTTGTCCCGCTGTTAAAACCCCACATAAACTAAAATACAGTCGCTCACTCCCTGGGAAATCTCACACACGGATCAACACACATGCCTTTGTTGACGTCATGTTGCTTGGCAACACCTCAGCATGCTCGGCTGTGACAAGCTGAGGTCTCAGCCCTGAAGTGTGATGCATCATGGGGGATTGCGTGCGCGACGCCTTACATCACCCGCGGTCCCCCTTGCCGAGACAGCTGCAGCCGGGGGTTTGTTCTCTGCAGCCCGTCTTGGAAAAGTTTCACAACAGCCGGGCTGGAGAGAAGACGACGTGCCGCCTCCGACTGAGCCGCAGTTTTTCGTACGAAATTAGCAGTCACTTTAGGAACCGACGCGCTGTACGTTTTCGCAGTACACACTCGGAGCGTTCATTTGTCAGACCTCTCCTCTCCTTCCCGATCACACCCCTGACCGCTTTTCTGTAGGTGAGCCTCATTACGCTCATGTGAGAGTGCGGAATTAAACCTCCTCCTCCGAACTCATTACTGTGAGCTAGATTTCACCGGCTGCAGATAGGCAATGTGGTGGTGCTGCTTTTAAAGCCAGAGCCAGATAATTAGAAACTTTAGAAGCACAGTTCCCATGGCTATAGCCAGAGTGAACAACTAATTCTATTTGAACTAATTACATTCCATAACGCTAGGCAGTGATTGCTACCCCAACCACAGCCTCCCCTATGTGATACGCCAGAGAATTTCATCACAAAAAAGTACCAGGGTTGTATTTCCCTGTGTGTGTTTGACTGACTGTACATCTTTGTGCATTGGTATTACTCTCTATGCACAGCATGTCTGCGCACACACACCCCCACGTGCTCCCAACTGTGTGTATTTCATAATATGAAACCCCTTATTGAGCTCAGTAATGATCATTTTGGGAGTGTGTTGTCATCACAAAAATGCGTCAGAGGGGGTTTAGACCTGCAGCAATGAAGTCTGAGATGAAGTCTGAGTTGAGACAGTAATATAATCATCTACCAGAACACACACACACACACACACACACACACACACACACACACACACACACACACACACACACACACACACACACACACACACACACACACACACACACACACACACACACACACACACACACACAAGAATTAACAAACACACACATGAAAAGAAAACAGCAAAGCTTTCAAATGCTTCTCTAGAGCCACAAAGATCAATGTGCAATGACAATCGCGGTTTTATTAACCGATAATGAAAACAATGTTTCTTGGTAGTCCCATTTGTTAATGTTTTCTCTCCTCTGTTTTSTTTGGGAAAAAAAATTAATAAAGTCAAGACAGTTTGGTGAAAATTGTGCGAGAGTCGCGTTTTTCAGTGTGTGCAGTTTTGTGCAATAACTCGATACAAAACAGGAAGTCTGTCAGTTCACATGGGTCTTTTTTCATTTCTTACTATGTGTGGAAGCACAGCGAGGGGAGTCCAAGTCCAGACCGCCACACTATCCTAAATACAGCAGGGAACACTACCTGACCGACTGCACTGATGGAGCTGAATTGTCATCCACAAACACGGGAAGTTCGGGACACAAATCAGCCACATAATACAAAATCATAATTTCTCTCTACAGCGCTTTTCACACTATTGTACACACACAACAAAACCCTTCCAGTCCTAATGGGATTTACTTAAGACTCAATAAAGCAGACACAAACACCATTGTTTCTAACAGACCTATTGTGCTGCTCAAACAGACAATGACGTGGGCCGATGGAGCTCATCTGTGTTTACTACAAAGAAAATATTCCACACACGTGTTAATCAAGTATTGCATGGGCGCACGCTCGTACACACAAGTGTGCAAAAGTATAAAGCAATATCACGCATACATGAGTAAAGAATGAACCCTCTTTCCAAAATTTGCCGACTTGCACAGCATCAAACCCATTGTGTGCACCGGTGGGATTTTCACAGGAACTGAGCGATGAAAAGGAGTCACACCACCCCATGCCAGCGTGTAAGATGTGCTGCCTGGTATGTTAGGCTCAAATTGAACACGCCAAGCCTTCAGGGGAAAATTCACCTGTTCAAGACGTGGAGCAAATGTCCAACTGCAGCGTCACTTGTAACACAACCAACAGAAAAAGGATGGCAGAGGGAGTTCTAATGTCTCCAAAATGCTGAGAGAAACACAAAAATAAGAGATGAAGCCGGTTTGTTGACAAACCTGCTGCTGAGGGTACTGCATCCCTCCCATGCCGATTTGGCTCCTCCCCTGCATGCTCATTGGATATCGATGTGGAGGAGGCGAAGCATACGGCTGGTTAGAGGGGTAAGGTCCGACCCCGGGTTGTTGAGGGTTGGAGTAGGGATTGTTGGCCATGCCGTACATCTGTGAGCGCTTCATAGCCATGAAATCCATGGAGGACACCTGTAAAGGAAAAAAATAAAATAAAATAAAAAATGGATTTATGATCACTACCTGGGGTAATGCTTTGAGTTTGACCATAATATTTTTTATCATTCATCGCAGTGTGCTGGACTGGTTGAAAGATATTTAAAAGGATCCATGATTATTTGTAACATTAGACTTTATTTAATAAACATATTTTAACTGTAAAATAAAGACTGTAAAAATACTGTAGGATGTTTAGTWTTTATAATTTTTAAACTAAAAGTTTAAAAATGTATTACAT